GATTGAGTTACTATCTATTGGCAAAGGGCCCTAAAAAGCTTACTTTAGCATTAATCTTTCACAATGGTTATGTGTGTTGCCTAATTTGAGATCACCTAAATACTGAAAATGAAAGAAAAAAAGGGCAGTTATGTCCATAAACCAACAAATAATTTGGCTGTAATGTATCATAAGACACAAAGAAACCCCACACAGCTGTACAATAAACATTATGTTCCACATACTCTCACACGGGTGCTCATGTGCGCATGCACCCTGCCATAGGACAGAGCCTAATGGGGTGCGGCTTCCAGTTCTATGTTCAGCTGTGCATTCTTTCTTACTTCATCAAATGAATAGCTTTTTGTCACCTTCCCATTCTTGAAGACAGTATGGAGAAGATCCTGCAAAAATGTAAATTTAATGATTAAAGAGATCATCAAACTAAGAACGTAAGTTGCGTTTTAATGAATTCACCTACCCAGGCAATACAGACATGGTGATGGTGTTCAACTTAACAATATTCCAACATTGTTACAGTATTACACTCTTACGCCAACTTCCTTAAAAAATGAACTTAACCAATTTTCTTTTGACTTACATGCTTGGCTGCCTGGGAGAATTGAGACTATCACTGTAAACACTGACAGCACAGTAAAACAAGCTCTGCCAATTCCAACAGACTCAAAACTGATTAAACCTGTCAATTTACAAGTTTAATGAATTTGCTAGTCACTAAATTTTTAACCTAAAAACAACACCAAACAAAAACCAAACCTCAAGTAAACGCAGGTAGTGATCTCGATTTCATGCACTGAGACTGAGTTAAGGACTCTATTCTTCAAAGTCATTACTGGTAAATGTAATATACTCCATCCGATAAAGGTGACCACATAGAAAATAAGGACTAAATTCATGTTGGATATGGTAAAGCCACTTCTGTTTTACTAAGCAGTTAGCTGCCTGCAGTTTCCTTAAAAAAATTCTACCGAAATAATTTTAGCGTTCCATCTATTTTTACAGTACATACAACATTATCTAGAATCTCTGCCACTGAACTGCTTTAAATTAGTTGTGGCATTTCTTTCCCATAAATTTAAATGTAACCTATCAGGGACTGCCGGCTCCTATTCTTTAATCTGAAGGTCTACAGGCTTATACAGAGACTGCTACCGCAGATGTTCTAGTGCTTTGCTCACATGCCCATGTTCTTGCTTTTACCGAGTCTCTTGTGACTAGCACCTTAGACAAATACATGAATATCTTATAATAATTCTTTATGTTATGCCAAATTTACTGCTTACAACAGGTTGCTTTTAGTATATTTTTGATTTTGAGCTAAAATTAATGAAATAATTTTTACCTTTAATGAAAATAAATTTGAAAATCAAACATGTAAAATTAGATCCCTTACCTAGTTTTCTGATTCAAATCAACTGAATTGAAAACAAAAAATGCAGAGTGCCAAAGTGGTCCACATAATGTTTTAGTTTTTTCGTGTGTATTCAAAAATTATAAACTTTCTGGTTTGTAAGTCACATGATTGGAAAAGTTATTTTTATAGGAAACTACCCTTAAGCATTCACATTCTCAGAAAAGTCTGTTAAGGTATTACTATTAGTCATGTACTCTAAAGCAATTCATCCTGTCTTTTCATTTTTACACTAATATAATTTGCCTTTTTTTAGCTCTTGGAGATGTTATAAGAATCTAAGGAGACTAGCCCAGGTATGGTGGCATACAACTGTAATCCTAGCACCTGGGAGACTGAGGCAGGAGGATGACAGTGACTTTGAGACCAGCCTGGACTACACAGTGAATTCAAGGCCAGCTTCAACTACAAAAAAATAAAAAAACCCTAATGTGACTAAAGAAAACCAGTTGAATTCAATACTACTAAGATATTACCTCAATGTTATAAAATTATTCTGCAAGTGATTTAAAAATACAATTTAAAACATACAGTAAACAAGCCTCATTTTTTTAATTTGGAGAGCCAATAATCAACTATCACAAAAACCGATCAGTACAGATACACACCTGACCATATTCTTCAAGATCTCCTTTTCCTTCCTCAAGTGTAACAAAATTCCCCGCTGGTGTCCTATGTAATGATAACCGGCCCTTTTTGGATCTTTTGTTAGGATCAGCAACTGGGTCTTTGAAGACATTAATCTGAAATTCAGATTAAAAAAGAGAAAAAGAGTATTAATCAAGAAATTTTCATCACTAACTTATGAAAAAAGCACATACATATTTATGTGTAGTTACATATAAATATACATACAGGTATATATACACACACATAACTTGTATATAACTTCTAAGGTTCTTTACAGGTCTAAGGGAACAAACCTATGCGTGGCTTTCAGAAATGTAACTCTTTAGCCTGTTTTGAAAAGCAGTTATGAAAAAGAGGATGCAAAGAGCTCAAATGCTAGGTATCCTTTCTTACTACACTTAGTAGTCCACTTGCAAGACATCTTTGAAATTTTAACATGTGATCTTTACCATGTTATAAAATGTCTTTAAATAGATACTAAGTATAGTACATACATGCTGTTGCAAAAAACAAAAGATGGATATGACTACGGTAGAGATTTTATTTTGTAACCTTTCTATTTTCATAACTTTTTACTGTTATCTAGGTATTGTGGAAGAAAAAGACTTTAGAGAACCTGAACAAAACAGGGCTTTTCAGGATCATAAGGTTGAGGTAGGAGAGAAAACACAATAGAAACAGCTAGCACTGACAGAGGAATGAGAAGTAACAAATGAGCCAGGCCTGGAAGCTCCCAGAGAAATAACTCAGGTCTTCTTCAGAGTTCTTAGCATCTCTACTCACTGTTTACAGACTTTGCACCTTCAAGAGACCACGAAAGAACTGGGTGCTGCAGTTCACATTATAATCCTAGCACAATGGGAGGCTGAAGCAGAAAGACCTCAAGTGCAAGCCCAACCTGGGCAACTTAGTGATTTTGTTTTGAGATAAAAAACCAGAAGCAAAGGGCTGGGGCTATAACTCAGCAAAATGACCCAGGTTTTAGTACCAGTACTGGGGTAGGGGCACTGTGAAGACTAGGGTGGGGGACTGTTGTTCAGCTGCTCAGCTGTGCTATGCTACTAAACATGACTATGCTGTCACACTCAGAATTAACATTCTACTTCCCTAAAAGTGGTTATACTTGCTTATCTTTGACACAGGAAAGCTAGGTTAGCTGACATTCCCACTCAAATCTAAAGCAGTGACAAATGACTGACCTAAAGTGTCTCTTAAATAATCTTTCATTTCATTATTTTTCTGTTTTCCAAGTCTCTTTTCCCCCTTCATCATGTTATTAATTAGCATTTTTCTTTCCATGCTTCCAAGTCAAGGTCACCAGTACCTGAAAACACATTGATAGTCCAAGACGCTATTATCCTTTGCCTATTGCTTTAGTGAGTTACCTAGACACAGAATTAGGGTGCTAATGCAGGAGCAAAAGTTGAAGCACATACCCCAAGGCCATTGGTGACAACATAGCTACACTTGAAGGAACAATTCAGGAGATCTCTGGTTAACTTCTGTAGCAAAGCTCCACCAGAACCGAAGGAAACATTTTCAATACTCCACCTTTTTTGTTTCATGCCTTCTACAATCTAGAGGATTGAAGCAAAACAGATAAACAAAACCTATGTAATATGGAAGAGGATAAAGGTTAATTTCAAAGGAAAACATTAACAAATGAAGCATCCTGGAGCTGTTCTATTAATAGTCAATAATAAGATGTGTAAGGCCTACAGCATTATATTTCACATACTCTTTTAAAAGACCTATTCGTCCCCCAAAAAGCATCAAAATGGACATGTGTGGAAGGATGGGAATTCATACATATTTCCTGAATTTGTGTTGTTGTCATCACTATGGCCGAGTCTGGGGAAGGAGGAACTTGCCTATAAATATCTAAGGTGACTTGAATCAATTTCTCTCTTCTACCTCCTTATTGCCCAGATGCCAGCACCAAATGCATTGGGACCGTCACTGGACTCTAGGCACGACTAGTACAGAACAACACAGCATACACCATGTGTCAGGCCACACTCCACACTACTGGGGATGGACATGGAGGTCAATGATTATTAGTGTCGAAAGAAAATACAATCTTTTTTTCTATATAAACAGTTGTGATATTGGTAGAAACATTTTACTCTGACTGGTGTGACAGTGTCATAAACAAGATTATGGTTAGACGCTCTAGGAGATTTATCATAGGCTATTTTTGGGAGAATGATGATCTAGCCTGCTACCGAGATTTGTATGATATAAGTTTCTGCTGATTAATATAATTCTTTCAAGAGATATACCCACACTAAACAATCCAACTGCATTTTAAAATTCTAATTCTTCTTTCTTATACTAAAACTTATCTTCTTTTAAGTAGAAAAATCAATATAGAAACACATTCCATTTATTTTGAAGTAATTCCTAAAGTTTAGGTTGTATACAAATTCAGCCTCAAAAGTCTTACTACTGTGACTGAACCCAAGGCATCTGAATACAGATTTTTTACCGAGATGACTGAACAAAATGAATTTCAATATATGAAAAACTGCAAAAGAGTATATTAGATAAAGGGAGGAAAAGAAAGGGAAACACAGAATAAAACGACTTGAGTAAACTTGAGAGAAAATAGGTTTAGACCTGTCACCTGATTTTAGATATGCTTCAGAAGCAACCGTAATGAGGGAATGACACCAGTATAATGACACACACTAATGTTTTGCTGAATTCCAGCCAGATTTCTTCACTAAAAGTTATGAGAGACAGCTTGTGGCTAAAGTGAACTTTTAGCCACTTCTAACTAGGGAAATGGGTAATTCTAACTAGGGAAAAATTATCACTCAACAACATTTACATAAACAGAAGGGAATCTGATTAGACATGAACTGACAAAATATCATTCTCAGGTACTATTCTCATGAGTATTTTTGTATCTTATACCCTAAATATCTGAGGAGCCCTATTATAACATTAGAATTCAATTTTTCTTTTAACAAACTTTCATTGGAATCTTGTTACCATGTGCAAGTGGTACTTTTGCAATATATTTTATCTATCTATCTATCTATCTATCTATCTATCTATCTATCTATCTAAAAAGATATACATAAAACCAATGTCTTCTACCAAGTCTCTGGACCGAAGTTGTGATACTTAGGGGAAACTTCCAAGAAATGTAGAAAAAAAGGTTTCAGGAAAACAATGTAGGCTAGCTAGAAGAAAGAAAAACTTGACCTATGCATATAATATTAAAATATGATTAAGCCTGGGAAGAAGATATTTAAAATATTTTGGAATTCAAAGAAATCTTCGTCTTCCTAACACTGAGAATCCAGTATTGATGTTATTAGTGAACCATTCCAATGGAGACGTTTTAGTGACACTCACAGACACTGAGCCCCATCAGAAACACAGACACTTTGAATTTTGTCAAATACAAAAAGTATTTTTTTTCTCCTTTCCTAAATGAACAGATTCATTTTGGTATATACAACAGAACACAGAAATGGACAATGAGGTTCCACTGTATACCTTGAGGGGTGAATAACGAAGTCTAACAGTGAGGCTGACAGAGTCAAAGTGAGAGCACAGTTGCATCACATAAATCAGATTTTTCAGTTTGTCAAAAATCAAGGTATCTAATTTAGCAAATGTACAAAGCAAAACTACTAGGTGAATTCTGCTTCTAAAAATACATATTGGGGCTAGGGAGATTGCTCGGCTGTCGAAGCGCCTGCTTGGCAAGTGCAAGGTCCTGAGTTCAATACCCAGTACCACAGGCCATGTCAGCCACGGACACTGGACATGGCAGTGCAAGCTGGTAATCCCAGTGCTGGGGAGGCTGAGACAGGAGGATCAATAGGAGTCTGAGCTGTGCAGTGAGACCCCATACCATATAAGTAAATAAATAAATGATTGAAAAATTAAGAAACCCCCCCCCCCATATGTACTGATTTCCAGTATGAAGAAATCAAGTTCTAGCCTCTGGGTTAAATTAACAGAACTAGTTTCTTCAAGATATTCTTCAGATATCCCATAAGTACATTTGCATTAACACAACACTATTCAATTCTGACTGTTCTACTTTAAGGTTCTTCAATGCTGAACAGTATGAGTTTCAGTGTTCATTCTGTTTATGTGTTTAAAAGTATAAAAAGGCAAAGTTTTTTTTAAGCTGATTTCTAACTTTAAAAATGTGCATAAATTCTCAAACTTTACTTTAAAAGCAAGGGGTGGGGGGAGAAAGAACAGAAGGGAAAGCCGAGATCTCTGGGTTTTAGAGGTTCACACACCTGACTGCCTAACCCAAGGAGGCAGGCACAGAACTCTGATGGGCACAGAACTCTGCCTGTTCTTCTGGGAGAGAAGGATGTGTGAGTCCCTGCCAACTGGGGTATGGGCAATGGTTCTTCATGGTGCCAAGGCAAGTACTGTCTGTTCAGCTGAGTGAAGAGGGCAACAGGAATCAAATGTGCTAGCTGAGATTTCTTAAGATTCTTCATTTTTGTAGGGCATGGTGGTGTCAGCAGTTCGGAAGG